ATCCCTGTGGAACCCAGCACAACGCCTCCCTAAAATGGGATGCCCCACCCCGATCCCTATAAGTCAACCTCCTGCCGCGGAAGTAGTCCGCAATGGTGGACACGAGATATTGGGGAACCCGAAAGTACCCCATGGCGTTCACCACGCGCCCCCACGGCAGAGAGTTAAAGACATTGGCGATGCCTAACGACACCGCCAACGCCCCTCCGCTTTCACCCACCACGGCCCCCGCGAGGGACCGCATACGGAAGACAGCATCTACCGTGGACCGCCCCCCGCGGAAGCCTTACTGGTACTTCGACAGCCCTCCCCTCCCCAGCCCATCCATATATTGGACGAGGCAGTTAACCAGGATGCGCTCAAAGAGCTTCCCCGCCTCGTTCAGCAGACATATGGGCCTGAAGTCCGAGGGTGAATCCTGCCCCCGACCTGGCTTTGGAAGCAGGACCACCCCGGCCATCTTCCATCCGTCGGGGAAGCGGCCCGCCCTGAGGCGGTCAGTAAAAGCCTGCCCCAGATCGGCCCCAGCTAACCCCACGGCTACCTTCCAAGCGGCCCCCGCGACCCCATCTGGGTCGGGAGCTTTTCGCGTCCCGATGCGCCTAGCCGCCGCTCGGACCTCTTCGGCCGTGACCCCCAGCTCGTCCCGCCAACTCGGCACCCTCCCCCCTTCCTCCGAGTTGGGACGGTAGCCCCTCCCCGGGAGGGAACAATGCGCCGATGACGTTCCGGACGAACCGGGGGTCAAGCACATCCGTTTGTGGGGGCGCCCACGGGCGGAGCTTGTTCAGCACCGCCCTATATGGGTGCCCCCACGGGTCCCTACTCAGGCCCAGGAGGAGCTCCCACCAGCTATTTTCTTTCTGGCGAGCTATAGCCGCCACCAGTCTATCTTAGACCTCGCCTCCCGGATCACGCTCTCTTAGCTTCCGGCCTGGCAAGTAATAGTGGCGGCGACAGCCGCTGTCGCCGGAACTCTCTGTTTTTTAAGGAGCGGGGGGGTTAGCTTCCCCACGTCCCATTTCACCCTCCTTCCCCCCCGGAGCGGCCGACATGCGGGGACCGGGAGAACTCGTTTCCTGCTCCCCACAACCTCTGTCCACTCCCGGAAGGAGGGCTCATCCATCGCAGCTTCCCTTCCCTCCCGCGGGGATGCGGGAGGGGCCCCAGCGGCCCCTCCCCCTCCCCATTAACCACTCGGGGGGGAGGGGCTTCTTCTTGATCTTCTTTTTCTTCTTTCCTTCTTGACTTTCCCCTCCCTTGCACGGCTCTATCGGGTTCTTCCCATTTACGGACCTCGAGGCCCCCTGCCGGGCCAGGGCCGGGGGTGCATGACCCGATTCTCTTTCTCGGTCTCCCGGGGTCCCCGGGGTCCGAGCTGCGCACGGCAGCTCGGCCCCCAGGGCTCGGAGCCGCTCGTTTATTAGGGAGGCCACCCTTCGGAGTAGGTATTTAAGGCCCCTATCCTCCTTAGGTGCGACGTCCCCCATCACATCCTCCTTCGAGGGCCGACGGTTCCCCACCTCCACCCTATCCGTGGGCGGGGATACCTCCCACGTCATCCTCCCGTCATATGTGGTAGGGCCACGCGAAAGGTTCTCCGACGCCTTTCTTGTTCTTTGCGGAAGAGGGGGAAACGCCTCCGTCTCTCTCTCCTCCGCAGCCTTCTTCAAAGAGGCGACCTCCCTTTTTAGGGCAGCGATCTCCTTGCCCGCCCTGGCGAGTTCACCTTTTAGGGCCGCCATCTCTCCGGACGTGTCTGCCCCCTGAGCAGTACCGTAAGCCCGTCGACTTAGCTTTTCGGCAGTCACGCGCATTACCGCGCACGACTGCCAAAGACCCTTCACCATGGTGCCCTTTAGACCAAGGGATACCTTGGCTACTTTTTCGACGCCCTCAATAGCGTCGAACGTAGACGCTATAAGCTCAGGGGACGCCATGGGGACGTCCCCCATGGTCTCTTCTCCTCGGTCCAGGAAGGCGGCTGGGGAGGAACTCAACCTTCCCGCCACCTCCTCGGCCAGACGGAAGTCCATTTCGTTCTTATGAGCCTCTAACATTTCACACCTGGCTTTAGCCAGGCTTTAGCCGCTCCGTCCGGCGGTCTACCGGGCTCCCTCCTCTTAACCACGACCTCCTCGTAGGCCCGCTTAGTCTTGGCAGCGAGCTCCCACGCGGAGGCCGTGGATGCCACCGACCGTATGCTGCCGTCCGACGCATACTGTTCATCATCGGGCGGCTTCCCTCTCCCGCTCCCCCGATCCCTGGATGATCACCCGGGTCTTAGTGGGGGACGCTCGGGGGCCTTGCAGCCTTTCCGCGTCCCCCTCCGTGTCCGTAGTAGCCGAGGTTACCGGTCTCCTATTTATGCCCGCCTGCGGAGGTGAGAACCTCGCAACGAGATGCTTCACCGACCTCCCTGCAGACGGGGACCGAACCACCTTTTTCCGGCCGCTCGGACGCAGGCCGAAAACCCTCATTCTTTCCGCCTCGTGGTTCTTTTCCGGAGACGGCGATTGCGGCTTCCGCGTCCCACCAACCATAGTTCTCGTCCCGGTTCTTACCTTTGGCGGTCTTCTAGGCCCAGGCCGCGATGCTCCGACGTTCGTAGTCGTTCCGCATGTCCTATCGCTCCTTCCACTCATTAGCGACGCATCCGATGTTTCGTCGTCTCTCAGAACGACAGCGGTCGCCACCTCAGAAGCATTTTGGAGTCCGGAGACACACTCTGTCTCTTTCCTCTTGTCCTCCTTCCCATCCCCACTGTTTGTTTTTAGTAAGTCCGCCATATTAATTGATATATATTCTCGGGTTTGCTCATCATGAGGCCCCCACCATCGGTGGGGGCGCTTCCCCCGGTAGAAAGAATCTCTAGTGAAGGGTGAGGAAGCCGAGAAGCGGTTTTTCGGGTAGCCAGTCCTATCCTCACCAAATGACTCTACTGAAAAATGTTACGGGATAGGCTCGTGCCATATTTGATGCTAAAGGTTTAACGTCACCCCTATCGAGTGGGCGCGCACCGATCCGACGGGCCGCTTACCCAAACCTCAGGCTAGACGTTGCTACTATTTACCCTTGGTGGCATCGGATATGGGGGCAAGCTGGCTAGGCCGCCCTCCACTCTCCCGCCCGACGCAGGCGCTTCAGCCCTGACACTGGCTCCAGTCAGACACGGATCAACGGTTCTTCCACATTAAACATAGCGGTTTTAAGGGCCCACCGCCGCCGCTGAGGGCAATCCTCCATACGACGACGGACTTCCATATTACTCCCACCAGAGGTCAGGTACTAACATGATCTGGATCCCTGGCTACCCCCCTAGACCATCGAAGTGAACCAGGGAGCACCTGGGGGTTACTACTCCCCCAGTTGTAGTTTACCAGGAATATCCACGCCAGGCTAACCGGGGCTCATTCGTTCATCCACACACCCCTTGCTGGGCCAATGCCCGACAAGAGGGGGGCGCTCCTGGTCGTTCCTCGCCCCGGCTCCTGATTCGCCGCGGGACCGAGATTCTGCAGAGAGAGAGGAGACTCTGATTCATTGGAACATAAGTTTCATCACTACGACAAGGTGGCGCCTTCGTGATGAAGTGTGTTCATCCACTCTTATTTAACATAACAAAGGAAATTATAAATTTTCCTAGGATAAATATTAGATCTACTGAACCTTTCTTTACTTTAGAACTTAATTTAACTTTGCGCGGAGCTCAATTACACGTAATTTCTCGCGACTGAGAGAATTTTTTATTAGACTGAGAATCGTGGAACGACACCAGCGATGTGACAGTTGCGATTAAGCGGTGAAAATGAATACACACCGAGCAATATCTTTCAATCGCGCAATTATAAAATTAATCGTGTACTACTGTCGTGTGTAAAATAATTGCAAAATTCCCACGGATTTTATCAACAATCAATTTAGTTTAAAACAGTTCATTTGGTATCGATAAAAACGAGAGTTGGATTTTGTTTTAATATGTTGGAATGCTTAAAGTATATTCGAGTATAATTTTTCTAAAGTAATGTTTTGATTTAGGTGGTCTATACGCATTCGGCAGTCTTTCTTCGATGGAGGCGATAATCTCGAAAATAATTGGCTCGATAGTAGAGTCCAACTATTCGACGCCACCACAAGGATTTCAGTATCACGTGGAATAATACATAAATCTCGAAAAGTACTATTATCCCGTTTTAATTCCCAATTATCTAGTTACTGCTATTGTTCTCACCGCCATAGGCGCATCAGACATGTGCGTGGCTATTTTTGTACAACATTGTTGCGGATTGTTCTTAATAGTATGTATTTAATATAATTTTATATAATAATAATAATGATGTTAATAATAATGTTAACAATAATATTTGATATATTCATATAATATTATGAAATATTGGTAAACACAGTCATATACGATGGCGATCTGATAAGTAGTAAAATTTACGCATGGTGGCGACACTGCAGCAAAATCGGTTTTAACATCATATAGCCTCATCTTTCAAACAATGTCGGTCAAAATTACAGCCTTATCCGTCCATAAGTTTTTCGTTGGTAGCCGATTAAAGTGAACGCCTCAGCCATTGTCGTCAATATGGAAAAAGAGCAATATCGTTCGGTGATTCGTTTTCTTGATTTGGATGGGAAAACGTGTGAAGAAGTGCAAGAAAAATTGGAAGCAGTTTACGGGGGTGTTGCTCCTTCGAAAAGCACTGCTTTTAGATGGTATACCGAGTTTTGTCGTGGTCGCACATCCGTCTTTGATGATGACCGTCCCGGGCAGTCAAAATAGGTTACTACCGATGATTTTGTCGAAAAAGTGCACGATATCATATTGGTCGACCGTCGGGTGAAAGTGCGTGAGATAGCAGACATGGTACAAATCTCGTAAGAACGCACAGGACATCATATATGATATATTGCACATGAGAAAACTATCGGCGCAATGGGTGCCTCGATTGCTCATCATGGACCAAAATCGAAATCGGGTAGTCACTTCGAAGATGTGGTTGGAGTTGTTTCAGCGCAATCAGGCGGAGTTTCTGCGTCGTTTTGTGACTGTAGATGTAACGTGGGTCCATCACTATACTCGAGAGACCAAGCAGCAATCTAAACAACGGACTTTACGGGGTAAAAGAACTCCGAAGAAGGCCAAAACGGCCCCATCAGCCAGAAAAATCATGGCTACGTTATTTTGGGATTCCCGTGTAATTTTCATCGATTATTTGGACAAGGGAAGATCTATCACGGGGCAATACTATAGTGATTTGCTGGGACGAATCGAAGTGGAACTGAAAAAGAAACGGCTTCATCTTGCAAAGAAGAAAGTCCTGTTCCATTACGACAATGCACCAGCACATTCATCCACAATCGCTATAGCTAAACTGTTCGAATTGAGGCACCAACTGCTCACCCATCCGCCGTATTCTCCAGATTTGGCCCCCAGCGACTTTTTCCTGTTTCCCAACATGAAAAAAATGCCTCGCAGGAAAGAAATTCACGTCTAATTCGGCGGTTATCACTGAGGTAGATGCCTATTTTGCAGAATTTGAACAATCATTATTTTTAGAGGTCATTAAAAAGTTACATCATTTTTGGAAAAAGTGCAGAGAAGTGAAAGGGGACTATGTCGAAAAATAAACCGAAATTTTCCGAAATATTGCGTTTACATTTTAATCCTAATAATTATCAGACCGTCCTCTTATTAACAAAGAAGTGAACGATGAAAATAAACATTGAACATTTGATTGAAGATAATTTCCACTTTTCACAGAGTCACTTTTTGATAATAGAAAAAGAAGAAGATTTATATTGGCAACAGCATAATTTTTAATCTGAAAAATTAAAATAAAAAAATTTCGAGTTATAGTCGATCCAGCAAGTAAGAATAATCGGATCGTATGAATTCACAAAATGTTGCAACTTATTTAAACGAAGTTAATGCCTCACTTTTCGAGTTTAATTATTTTTGCAGTTATGCTGATTTGTTCTAAGTTTGTGTTACATTATGCTCGAATTATAAACCTATAATACAAAAATAAATGAAATAATGAGAAAAAAGATTTTTTCCTTGTTGCGTTGTCGAGACGGCGAAGATAGTATGGGGTTCCCAGAGCAACGCGGTAGAACGAAGGGTGGTGGCGAAAAATATAGTATCTTCTTTATGAAAGTGAACTTATTTTTATTCTGTACGACCCGTTACAGTATTTTGTACTTAACCGACAGCGTATCGGTATCCGAGAGCTGAAAGTCTCGAACTGAAAGTCTAGAGTCTGTTCTTGGTTGATGAGCTCATCCTTTTATTCTAATCAAGTATCACAGTCAAAGAAGATAGTTTTGATGATGCAGCGTTGCTTGGGCGCAGACGCGGGCTATTTTAGTTTCGATATTGCACTCCGAAGAGTGCAGAGTTGTATCTTTGCAAGGTTACATCTCGTGATCATGACGACTTGTAAATTTTACGACGTTATTAATTTGATCTGCGGTCATGACTTTATCTACACTTCCGCAAGGTTACAATCTCGCGATCATGATCTACAACCGGTTACGGTAATCAGCATGTATCACAATTGTGGATACAACATCCTCTCCCCCGTTGGAAAAAGAAAACGAAGGGACAACGTTTTTTTTACAAAAATTATTCCAATATTTGGAATAACAATATTTGGTTATAGTCATTTATCTTATAACTATTTGTATGAATTATACTTACCCGTTGGTTTCGGCTCGGTGGGTTTTTTAAATTTATAACGAGGTATTTCTACATCTTATTAATTATTACATCGCATTAATTCGTTACTTTTTTTTATAAAAATTGAATTATTCTTTGAAGTATCGTTAAATCTTCTTAGAACTAAAATTATATAAATGATTACAATTATAATAGTTATTCCACTAGGCGCGGTTGAATAAATTAAATATTTATATCTTTCGAAAAAAATTTTCACTTTCCAGATCTTGGTGTATATTGGTCAAGCTATTTATTAAGTTTGTTAATTCGGTGAAATTCGGTATTACCATTTTTAGCTTTAGAGTTTGTATCGTGTTATTTCAATTCTGATCTGTCGGTTTCTTGCAGAAATATTAAATTACATTCTGGTACATTTATTTGTATTTCATTGTTCCCTAAAGTTTNTCGGTTTCTTGCAGAAATATTAAATTACATTCTGGTACATTTATTTGTATTTCATTGTTCCCTAAAGTTTCCTGAATCTGAAACATAATATTTTCTATTATTAATCTATACTACTGTTGAAATTGTATTATTCGTGATTTGAATATTTTCTTTCGGTATTCCGTAATATTTTTTCACTGTATGAACATTGGTTGTATACTGTGTGTTGAATACAACTAGACGTTTTTCTTGTCAAGAAAATTATTACAGGTTGATTTATTTTATATAATGTTACACGTTGGAAATGTTTTTTGCACGGTATATACATATATATTAGGTTGGGGAAAAAGAAATACATTATTTTTTCGGTAGATGGCAGTAGTGATCGATATTTCGTAAAGTATCGATCAAACAATTTCAGATTTAT